TGCAGTTGACTTAAAAGTGGAATGTAGGGCAGCAACATATAAAAAGGGTGAGGAAAGAGAAGGCTTAGGTGACATGAGGGATGGCCGCTGTTAGCAGTGCAGCCATGAATTAGAATTAGCATTGCACGTGGGCTGAACAATGAATATTGTATTGCTGTGTAAGTGGACACGTGCTCTGCATATCTCAGTTAGATGCCAATACTGTTAACCTGAGGGAGCGTGAGCAGACACGATGCTGAAGCACCAGCGAACAGCCATGATGGATGGGTTGTGACTCAAAAAAATGGCAAGATGGGAAATATGGAGAGCCACCGACCCAGAGACACACATGGAAAAAGACAGACACACCTTTACTCTGTGATATAAAACTAATGACACAAGAGACAAGGTGTGTTTGGAAAAGTTTATCTGGTAATAAAAACAAGGGATGGGTTAAGGGATCTAGGGTATTGTACTCACATTCTCTCTCTCTCTCTCACACACACACACACACATCCCTATGGATTATAAATAAATATGGCATCCTCTACAGACAAAAATAGAGATTATATTTAAGTGATGAAATATACAAAAGAGAGTGGGATACAACATGTTTCTCTAGTGTTCTCTCTCTCCTCTCTGTTATGCACACACACACACACACACACACACACACACACACACACATACATACATACAGCCTATATGGGAAGATTGTTGTTGCTGATAATTTGGTGCTGAACTGTACTAAACCTTCTCACATAATGTGCCATTAAGACCCAGCAGAACACAGACTTTGTCATTTCACGCAAACACTGCAGCACTGATAAAATGAACATCTGAGCAGGGAAACAAGGAAATGACCCGGTGGTGTTCGGCTAAAATGAAAGCCTCTATAATCTTTAGGCACAATGGCATCGAATCTAAATGAAAACGGGTCTGCCGTTTGTGGGGAGATAATAGTGGTGAGTGTGGCTGCTCATACCGGAGCCATGTTTCTCCAGTCCAGAGCAAAATCAGTTCGACTGATGAGTCCCATCAAATGATCTACATTAGTGTGAAATACTTCCTGTTTCACACATAGTACTCAGAAAGTACAGGTGCCAAACTTAAAGATGCATCAAGAGTGTTTTAGCTACGATGATCTACAGAACTGTAAGGATTCACATTCTTCATAGAAACCATAACCTGGGGTCCCTGCAGCATGTCACACTGTGAGAGGTGTGTCTAATGAAGTCCTCACTGCTATGAAACAATGACATTGTTGTAAAAAATCCAAATTTGGCTTGAGTTGGTAAACAGTCTTATATAGTGTCTTTCTATGTGCTGCAACACACTGGAAGCACTTTCACACTATCTGCCCATTCACCCATCCACAATGGTGACAACCAGGGATTTTATCTCTCTCACAAAGACACTTCAACCTGAGAAGCTGGGAATTGAACCACCAACCTTTAGGTTAGGAGACGAGCTATTCTACCTCCTGAGCCACAACCACCCCAATTTGAAATACTGCTGGGTAGCTGGTGAAAAAGCTCAATAAAGTCTTATGATAATGTGGCTTTTTTGTATTAATCTGGTTATAAGATGAAAGTAGTGGAGTAAAAAGTGCAATATTTGCTTCTAAAGTGTGGTGATGTATGAAGTAGTACAAAATGAAAATACCCTATTGTTTCTTTCTTTCCTCCACTTGTTAATGAACTGAGTTAATGTCGTTTTGCACATCAATAAATGTTTAACTTTGTTAACAAGCACTGAAGTAGCTTCCACGTTACCAGTCACCCACTGAGAAATCATCTCCTGCACATGCCATCTGAATCTAAATTATGCTTCCCTGCCTTGTTTATTAAAACCTCCTGCAGACCTGCTCCCAGACGGACACAGGAAAAACTTTTGCTTTCATTCCAATCTTTGTTGTTCTCTATCCCAAATGGAGCTCTATGTTTGTAGAAAGTGAAGGTCACTTCCATCTCTGTCTGATTTGGCTCAGCAACCAAGCAGGACAGGAACAGACTCCAGTGGACAGTCAGGACTGCAGAACAAAGTATTGGTGCCAGCTTGCCCGTCATGGAGGACCTGTACACCTCAAGGGTCAAAAGGAAGGTGCAGAAGATTTCTGCAAAGCCCTCTTTTTAAATTCCTCCCCTCTGGACGGTGCTACAGGTTACTGTACGCCAAGACAACCAGACGCAAAGGCAGTTTCTTCCCCTGGGCCATTACACTCATGAACAGTTGGTCTAGGTTTTGCTCTTTTAACTTGTGCTTTTTAACTTGTATTTATTCAGTTTTTATTGTTGTGCACATCGGGGGCCATGGGGCTGGAGTCAGATTCCTTGTATTCTATACTTGGCAATAAAGTTTATGCTTATGCTTAAAAACACATCATCAGCAAATAGGAGAGATGCAATTCTGAGGTCCCCAACCTGGTGCCCTGTACTCCCAAAGTACCCCCAACAAGATCCCACAGGGGATTCAGTTGTAGGCCTTCTCCAAGTCCACAAAACACATGTAGACTGGGTGGGAAAACTCCCAGGATCCTTCCAGAAACCTTGCGACGGTAAAGAGCTGGTCCAGTGTTCCATGACCTGGACAGAATCTACATTGTTCCTCCTGAGTCTGAGGTTCAACAGTCGGTCAAAGCCTCATTTCCAGCACCCTGGCACAGGCTTTCCCAGGGAAGCTGAGTAGTGTGCACACAAGCGCACTGAAAACAAAGCTGACAGATAAACCCCATAAGGAGGATGGACAAAGAAATTTAATTGTCTTTGCATTTGCATCATAGACATCAGCAATAATCTGGTTAGTCACGAGTTGAAGTACATTTATGCCAGTGTTTCTCAACAATGGGCTGGGCCCCAAAATGCACCAGGAGCCTCTGCTGACTTTTTACACGAGAACAGAACAATATGTCATTAAATCTGACTGACAAAGCGAGAATGGTTCTATTGAGTTTGAGCTTTGGTCTTGAAAATTTAACAGCTGCTTCATTCAAGTATCTGAATTCATAGAAACATCCATATAACAAACAATTAGGCATGTATGGAAATAACACAGACAGAATCCAGCTGAATGGCATCATAATCAACCTGCATTCAGGCTGCATGATAGTGTACAAGCAGACCCAAGTGACAAATGGAAAATAAAAGTTTGCATAAGGGACTCTGTAAGCTGTATGGTCGCATTTCAAACTGCAAAATATTTGTCATGCAATTAAGCTTTATGGTTGGAAAGCACAGTGTATATCTTGTCTCACTGGACTCCTGACCTTTGTCGCCTGTCATCTCCATTCTGTTTCTCGTCTTTTCTCTAACGCTCTTCAGTAAACTATCTAACGAAGCAGAAATGCCATAAAGACAGCCAGAAAATTCAAATGGCCTCCCAGATTACTCTGGAACAACATCTGATGTTTTCTGACAGGAGAATTCTAATGAAGCCACCAGCTACCATTTGCTGTTGTCATCTCTCCAGGTCCCTGCAGGCACTGACAGTGTGGAGGCAGCAGCCCAGATGTTGAAGACATTTGTAACTGCAAGTCACTAGTGTGTGGCCTAAATAACCTGAGTGTTCAGAGTTAGCAAGTGATAGATTCTCTTCTCTTTTACAGAATAAGCGCAGAGTCCTAGGTCCAAATCAGCAATGCTATATCAGTGGAGTTGTCTTTTACACATAGTAGAAAAGCATTCTGAATAAAGTCACGGGGGTCACCAGTCAACCTAAATCT